AAAATACCAAAGCAAGGCGAGGTGGGATAGACAAGGGGACGGAAGCGGGGGCAGGTGAAGACGGCGTCACCAATTACCTGCTTCTCGATTCCACCGGCGCTGCACGCGGGGGCGTGGGGGAGGGGGAGGAAGTGGCGCTCACAAGACGGTGGCGGAGGCGCAATGTACTACAGCTGTCATCGCGGAAGCCCCCTGCTGCCATTTGCGTTGGGCCTTTTCTCATCAATTTCAATAGAGAAGCAGTACACACATTTCAAAATTCTATGCGATGAAGTGTTTTCATTAATACATTTTCATGCCATTTGCTATTCCCGAAAACAGGGAAGCAGGACATGTTCAAACTTTGTTTTAATTATGATCTACCATATCATGATTACTTAAAACTTGTTAACAACAAAATAGTCATAGACGCGCTGCTAATACTCAAAACCCAATGACCACAATAATAACAACATTGTCTAACTAAATAGAGGAGGCCGAGAAGGCTGGTGCGCCTAAATCGGGCGCCGCCCTCGACCTGCGCGGCACGCCGGTGGAGCAACGCGCGTCGATCGGCCAGCGATGCGCCAGGGGCGGGGCGACGGTCCAACGGGCGGCGCTGACAGCGTTGGAGGTAGCAACGAGGGTGGAGGCGGTGGAGTTGGCGCGCGGAGAGGAACCCAACAGGGCGTGAGACGAGCAATCTCGAGGATGCGCTTGCGAGGGCGGAGTTGGCGGTGGAGGAAGAGATGGCAAATTTGCTCAATCGAGAGCACTGACTCTAAAGAGGTAACGTAAGCCGGTAGTGGATATTTTAAAAATCGACTGAATTAAATTTATTAGTTACTAATTGTAACATTTCTAATTAAATAGTGGGGTGAGTATTGATTCCTGGAGCAATAACAATGAGCTTATCCGTATCGAAAGTGTCGTGTATGTTATTTCCTTAATAGTGGTGGCATTTCTTCTCAACTGGAACAAGAAATCTGGCGGCGACAAACATATCGACTTGCGGAGTTTCACCTCTCAAGGTATTTCCGCTAGCGGAACACGGCCCCAGTCGGAACAAGGTGTACTCTCCCGACATGTGAGGTTGTGTAATTAATGTAAGTGTAATTGGCGATTAAAGAGTAATTTTTATGAAAAAAAATTGTAAGCTAGAACTTTATACGATATTCGTTTATTACCTTATATTACGAAAGTGAGAGACAATATAATCATCCATTGAGTAAACGCAACTCGGAAAAGGTAGCTGGGAAGAGCACTCGTCTCTCAAAAAGAAAGCAAGGATGGGAAGGAACAAACGTGCTCGAACGATTTATGTTTCAGAATCACGTGGCTCTCCGAGTGACGGACGTAGGGTGTTTGGAGTGCGAGTTCGTATTTGTAAACACTACATCTGCAAGAGACTGGTACTTCATTGGATCTTTGTGTTGGTGAAAGAACTATCAAATTGTTGCAGATCACGCAGTTTGATGGAGTGTTTCAGAAGATCACCTGGATCAAAGTTGGTCTATTTCATGAATGAGTAATTCCTGACACGATACAGTCATATAAGCATTGAACGCAATTAACATCGTTTGAAAGGGATTATTAAAGATCCAAATATTATAAAACGAATATTATGGTCGTAACCTTTCTACAGTGATTATTTTTGTATTTAAAAGAATATCTTCATTGCGGTCCCTAAAAGTCTACTTCTATTCTTTCAAATACATACCACTCGAATTACTCTTGTCAGTTGTTGGGATATTTTGTAATTAAAGAAAATTGAGAGAAGATAATTGGATGAGTGTGTAAATAATTGGATGAGTGTTAGGTTTTATTGCATTAACAAAAATGGTAACACGCGCAAGTTTCATAAATTAAGTGTGCCAAATGTATATTCACGACCAATGTTTCTGGTAATATATTTTATTTGAGATAGAAAAGAAACATAATTACTTAATTGATAATTGTGGCACTAAAATATAAGAATTGAATAGTATATTATAATAAGACTCTCTACCTTTTGTTACATAGCTTGCAAAACATTAACTTAAATCTCCCAGTTGGTCTCAGTGAAGACTGTTTACACAAAAGTTGTGATTGTCCCCTGACTTTCCCAGATCAATGAAATCCCAAACTTTTTCACACATTTTCCAGCGAGTGCTGACTGCGAGAGATAAAAACAGCTCGAGAGTCTCGAGTTGCAGCGCCGCGTGCGTCATCCACAAGGCGACGCGTCGACGACGGCCCTTCCGACGCACAGTCCAGAGGCGCGTACAACCTCAGGCCTACTTTCCTAACGGCAAAATTCTTGTTTTTATTAATTCTAAATTATTATTAGTAATACAAGTATGAATAGTGATATTTGAGATTATTGAATAGTTGATATTTCCATGTGCGTTAACAGCTCTGAGGCTGAGGAGGCGAGATCCGGCACCGACCTACACCCATCCAGACACGCGGCCTGGCCGCACCCTCGACCGACGAGCTAAGCGCACCATTGGCCTCCCCACATGTGTGGTAGTGTAGGGCGCTTCGGGACTTGTTTATTAGCGTACTTTTCTAGCCTTTCCGTGGTGTGGATCGGAGAAAACACGGAAAACTACCAATCAGAGCAGACGGTCTCTAGAATTCTGCTCCACACAGCGACTGAATTTGACCTAGCCATCTTGTGTCGAAAATCCTGCTAACATCGGAACGCCAACCCTACGTTACAGGCTCTGAAGTGACATCAGGCCATGCCCTGAGCTGCCTTAGCCGTTCGTTACTCCTCTAATAGCTCGCAAGACATGATGGTTCACGTGATTACCTTATAGCTATTGCCATTCAATATTTTAGAGGATCGCCTAAAGATATTGCAGAAATGATTAAATAATATTTAGTTCAGTGATAGTTCATGTGATTACCTTTTTGCCTTCCACATTAGAGGATCATCTAAATGGATCTCGCAAGCCAGAAATCAGATATCTCGGCTTCGTACAACAATATTTTAGTCAACCAAGACAGTTTACGAAGTTAATACACATATAAGTAATATTGATCCCAGAAAAACTTTTCAAATTAAGCGATACTTTTGAATAGACATTACAGTTGCTAAGTAATATTATTTATTCTTTACATTTTTTAAATTTATTATAATAATACCAAAATAATACCCATCGACCCGAATCTTCTTCATGCGTTAAAAAACATCTATTCGTAAAAAAATCTGTTTGAAGTGGTATATAAACTTTTCATATATTAAATTTCTTCCAATGAAAGAATAAACAAAAAAAAAAATCCCAACCATTATGCAACAACTGAAATGTGTTTACGAATTCTATTCAATAGATGATATTCCAATTCAGAAAACATTTTTAGTGTTATGGAAGAATCACACGACAGAAGCACAAATGTTGATCATGAATAAGTATCAAATGACAAAGGACTGCGGAGGATTGTGAAGTTGAGGAGGTCAAAGTATCAGACAAACAATTGCGACATTGAATGGGCATCATGAACACGAACACATTTTCCCATTTGCTCCGCCACGTAGTCCAAACGCATGACCAGACGCAGAGCTGCATCCATGATGTACGCGAACGGTGCGATTCTTGCGCGACAACGCTTGCTTCGGACACGTCATTTGCTTCGCCCGAAGCAAGCGTTGCCGCACGCGAAACACACTAAATGAACACCAGAAGCCGCAGAACGCATACTCTTCACTTTTGTCAGACTGTCAACCGACTGTCTATTCCATCTTCACCTTCAGATTATACGTTCTTCATATCGAAGTAGAGCATAGGATATGTTGATAATAATAGGTGCCGTTCTCGGCCCCCGACTGTAAACTAAGGACAATGCTTACATCTCCCCCCTTTCCTGGGCAGAGTATCACACTAGTGGTTTGCCATTGCCTTCTACTTGATGGCTAATGATAAAGATAAATGATGATAAGAAGCGAATGTTCAGAATGAGTGAAACCATGTTTCAATAGTGAGACGTAGGGTTTGAGTATCCCCCTTAGCCACGCCACAGACACATGAAAACACCCACGCCGTACGTGGAACGTGAACCTGCAGAATTCGGCTCTGCTCCAAACTTAACACGCTTAAGACCTTTCTCTTCTGAGGCAGACCAAGACACGTTTATATAAGGCAAACCAAAGCCAAGAAGAATAAATTACTCTGCCCCAATATACTACTTACAGTTAAAGAAATACTCGAGCTAGATAACCGATGTGATAAAACAGAACATCTCACGTAACACTCAGCAGGAAGAATTCTGAAGATCAACTATATCGATGTGCATCTGACACGTTCCGGAAACAAATATTAAGCGGCACAATATCGTGAAATACTTAAAATATTTCTAAAAGAAATCGAAATTGAGAAAAAAATGGTTGAAAATGAAAATGCTCTATTCTTTACAGTCCAAAGTGGAGAATATAATTTTCTGGTTTTCCAATAATATAATCTAAAATTACCGTTGTTTTCTAACGGGTTTTAAAGGTTTGAAATGTTCGTATCTTAGTAGTCATTGAAAAACAACCTGAATAGTAATAAAATCTGCCTCTGAAAGTAACTTTTCATGCAATAGAATATGCGTTGTAAAAGAATACTAATTTAGAAAAAAATCATAAGAATTACACAAAAAAACCTGCAACACAAACTGCATCACTGCACCGTCGCGTGCGTCTCCGCAAAGTTCGCCAGCGTGTTGTGTCACGAGGCAATCGAAGTACGCGAATTCCTCCCCGAAGCAGCGACAACGGATGACTTCGACTCGTGCGACCCTCAGCGCCACTGCAGCTAGAAAACCCCACTGGCCCTTCGCCCCCGGCGCCAAGAGACAACGTCGCGATTGCGGTTGCGGTCGGAAAATACTAGAGAAGCCTCCAGAGGCAAACGCGTGTTACTATCAAACTCCAACTTCAAAGTGGAGTGGAGTGCAACTGAAAAGTTGATAATTGCGCTTGACATGTATATTCTAATAAGGACTACGTAAATGCTTTACTAAACATTCAATATAAATTTTCGATTTTTAAATTGATTTTTAAGTAAGCTTATGGTGATTTTATTTCCTATTATAACCAGCAGAAAAAAGACCATTGCCTTCAAAATCATACTCCTCAGCTACAAGTGATCACCAAAGTTCGATAAGAAGAACTTTGTCAATAATAGCAAATAGTTTCTATTTTAATAGATTTTGAATAAATGTATTTAAAAATTACGAAAAAACAACTAAGGCAAACATTTTCTTCTCTAGGTGGCTTCACAATCTGTACCAAAAGTTATGGAAGTCCCGTGCCTGCCAGCAAATCATTAGGGGTTGAAACCCAATTTAAGGATTGACCGGTTCCCGAATTGGAAAACGAACCGTCAGCTACAAGTGATATCGGAGTTTCACTAATGGTACCACACTCAGATCCTAATGCATTAAGGGTGAATTTAAGACTTCAAGGTAAGTGTTCCCTGAGGACAGCGCATGTGTGTGATTTGTTCCATCTCTGGTACATGTTCATTTTGTATCAAAGTTATTTTCCTTAAAAAATAAACAAAGAATACTTTTTGATAAACATGTGGCGACACATTTTTACGTCGTCAACTTTGAAATGAGTGTTTAGCATAAGGAAATGATTTTTTAAAGGTTTGCTAAAACAGTGTAAATGAAAGTTCGTGACATAAGAATACATGTAAAATAATGTGTAACGTAATGATATGTAACGTACAGTATAACCTTTTCAAGAGGCAATACTAGCGTATGAAGACTAGTTATTTATCAAGTAAATTATGCAAATTTACGAAATATGCTGACTTGGATACGTATTCTAATATTCTGTAATCTCAACACACAAATCACCTACCTTGTAAGCTACAGGGAATTTAATAACTCATGGATTGTGTGCAGATTGAAATCAGAACAAAAATGAAGCTCTAAGAGAACATAAGGATCATTTTATTTCGCAGTTGCTCAGGAATGTAAATGGATCCAAAATAATCACCCAAATCATCCATCGCGAGCTGAAGGGAAATTTTTCAGTGGATCTGAGTCACGGGTTGTCTAACCTGGAGTTGCTCCACTGAACCCAGACAAATGACTCAACAAAATAGCCGTTTGCATACTCGCACACAACTGACACTGCCACGCTCTTAGTTTGATAGTGTAAGCTTGAGGAATTAAGCTTGGTCCGTTATGTTTTGCGTTCGTACATCAGAAATATGGTATTCTGAATAGTTTGAATGAAACTTCTCATTACTGGCGTGATTTTTTATAGTAGCTCCCAGTAACTTCTAGAAATGGTACGTTTGCTAAGAAACTTCGTAAGTTTGGCCCCCTCTGAACCAAATTCTTCTTCACTGTAACGTGTCGCAAATATTTAACTGTGACTAAACACATTATTAAAAAGATTTATAATATGTGTTTTGAATATTTACTCAGATAAAAGAAAAACCTTGGCATCATAAAACGATTTTTTGATTTTCATGGTACAAAACATTTCATACGAATTCACTAGGCTGCTGTTATGATTCATATTATTTGCATTTCTATTTTTTTACATTTTATTTTATACATTTTAATTATATTAGTAAAATAGAAATTATGAAAGTATTATTGTCTCGACTTTTCTTTCACAATCAACATTCCTTTTTGAATCACATATCTTTTATTCACAACAAAAGTGAAAATAGACCCTTAGAGATTTCCAATTCATGGTGCGATGATTCTTCGATGATGAATGTGCTCTGCAGCTCGGCCGCGACAACGCTTGCTTCGGACAGACTTTTGATACGCCCAAAGCAAGCGTTGCCGCGGGGGAGCCACACAGAAGCTCATCCACAGCTGCCGAAGGCGAGATGGACCTCCAAACTCCACTTCGAGAAGAGAAAAGCCGGTTCAAGTGAGGCAAACATTGGAAATCGACATTACAGAAAACATTTTTCAATAAACATAATCATCTTAATTGTTCACAAACAAGTATTCTTGATCTACAAATACCACTAATGGAGCAATAAAAATCTTGTCTAGAGTGTCGGATTTAGGACTACAAAATTACACTCCATCACCTGATTCATTATCCAGAAGTCCGATGAATCAGGCGCTGCTCTCGGATGTACGTATTTCTAATGTGTTTCTAATGTGTTTCCGCGAAATTTTTCTCAAATGACCTGAGCGTCATATTGCTCGCATACGAATATCTTTCCTGTATCAGCAACACATTTCCCGTGATATAATTCCCTTCCTTGTTTCGATTCAGCCATAGAGATTGGTCGATACTTACTTAAGTACGGGATTTACTTAAGTACGGGCGACCATTCTCATAGAATAAAATGCCTAAAGCAAAGACCAGGTACAGAAAATTCAGCTTTGTCAATAGATTTTGGACCACGATTGACTAGAACAATGCAGAGATGCTGACGATCTCTCGCAAAAGCACGCGAGTTATGCGTTCGAGAGTTCTTAAGAGCGCAAATGTACAACGATGTGCAGTGAAGTGCACTGTCGTTGAGGACAAGAAGAAGAACACAACAAAAGTACGGGCGAAGTACGATGCATATTCTTGTCATTAATGTATTAATTACTGGTTACAGAAAAATGCAATGAAGTAAAGAAACAAAATGGAGAAGATATGTTTTTTTAAATCTATTTACTTATCTATTTTTTAGTACATTTGGGTGTATTTCCTGTTTGTTTGTATTATTTATCTATTGTTTATTTATTTTTTAATTGTTTATATGTTTTGCTTAATATTTTTAATACTTATAAGTATTGTTTCTCTTAATTTTTACTTTTGTACATTCTCATTGTACTGTCATTGTCAACGTTACTCTGCAGTAATGAAATTATTATTATTATTGTTATTATTATTATTATTATTATTATTATTATTATTATTAGTAGTAGTAGTAGTAGTAGTATTTCAATATTTCACATATATAATTTAACCCCTTTCTCAAATAAACACGCTTTAAACATATTACTTTCTTAATGCAAAAATAAACAAAAGATTCTACTTGTATGCAGATAAAACGCGCTTAATCCTTGAACGTGTGACGGGTTGCGTAGAGTTCAGGGGCGATTAAGTTGTCATAAATCAATAAATCATCATCAACAACAGCCTCGCAAGTCCTATTTAACTCAAAACATTCTTTAAACACACTCATTACTAATAAAACAAAATGCGATAGTTTCAGCAAAATCAGAAACGTAGTTTTTGCATGTATGTGTGACACACATACGCACATTCCCTTCTACAAGTATATAGTATTCAGATAAAAGCAACTGCGTATATTTGTTCACTACGACTATATCATAGATACGACTAGGACTTCTACCTTGGAAAGAAGAGGGATTTTAGGGTCGTTGATTCTGCCTCGTACAAAATTTAGTAATGAATTTACGTACCACTTCCGTATAGGCAAGAAAATACTTTCACATTTTGCGTTTTAGTATTGACATACGTAACACGATTTGATGCGTTATTGGATTGTTTTTATAGTAAATTTTATTACAAACTAAGCTTTTGGCAGAAAATATATACGAATTTTTAATGAACAGAACCTATACAACCTAATTAAAAAGAATGTTTCTAGGTCCGTAAAAATAAAAAAAATGCATACATTATTTGAGCAGTAAAATATAATGAAGTACAGATCACATTTATATTTTATATATACTTTATGAAAATATACAGTGGCTCCGAATACACGTTACAAACTTCTAAAACAGAAGGAGTTTTCGAAAATGAACACTATTTTGCCAATAAACATGTGATTTTCACATAACAAAGTTTCACTTCTGACATCTCCTAATTGTTAGGCAACTCTTCAAGAATAAAATGTTTGACTAAATGGTACACTAAATATTATTGACCACTTCAGAATGGGACCTGCTGAACACCAGTGCATGGGAAGTTGCATAACAAATCAGGAGCTAAATTCACAAGTTTTACTTCGAAATTTCCGATCACATGTTCAAAACATAATCATCATCGACCTAGAATTTTGTATTATTTATTCTCAGACAGATCTCTATTATTTACCCTACACGCTCTCTCATTTACATTTTATGAATTTCAGATACATATTTGAGAACTCACTTGTTGCTTTATAACAACAGATTCGTACGAATGTCAATAATGTCGTTTCTCCCGTTCTCGACAGAAGATTTTCTAATCCCACCAGTCCTCTTGTTCCCACACGAAGGCGAGCGTGATCCGCCACGCCACCGGCGCACCCTGCCTCCCCGCCCGCGGGTGCCGCGCTGTTTACTGGAGACGCGAGCGTGGGCGCTGGCGCGCTCCCAGGGCCCACGGCCGAGGGGCGGGGGGGGGGCGCCGTCGCCGCCCACTTGCGTAATAAATGGCTGCTTACCACGGTTATCTGAAGTTCGTCTTGTGAGGAACGCGAACCCATCTCCCTTGGCTCTATCAAAACTATTTCGATTTGTAGGAGACAACACAGGACAAAGTTGAACAACATAAAATAATAATTTCACTCCTTGCAATCGTACGGACATCGCATCCGTCTGGAAGTCGGAATGCCATTAAGGTTCACTGCCACTGCATAAATATTATGTCTTGCGGAAAATAGGGTCAATTACGGTTCTGACAGGAAAAAATTAAGTGACGAAAATAGATAGCATTCTATAAGATTGGTAATGTGAAAAACCGAGGAAATCTAATATACACATAGAAAGACGTATTGTGCAAAATGTATAAACGAAATATTATCGCTGTGTACTGACGAGCGTAACTGAAAATTGAGTACAATTAATTTTCCCTCTTCTTTCACTCTAGCTCGGTGAAATGAAAACTTCATCCTAACCAATAACTTCAAAACGAGCATGGGGTTGAACAAACTCGTAATGACGTAAGTCTTCTTAATCATTTTCTGACAAATACTGGCTAATTCATCATGCTTTGTGTTGACAACTGTTGCATACCATTCAGAGAGGGCAGGCATTCATTCAAATGCTCAACACTCAGACAATAGAACAAATTAAACATTTATTTACGGGTACTTCATGCAAAACGAGAGATTAAAAAAAGACTATTTTTGGCATAATATCTGGAATAGTTGGAAACACAACAGTTCAATATTGTATCTGTTGATGAACATTTACTAAACTTTGGTAAATTGCCCAAACTTTAAATTACCAGAAGTTTGGACATTCAAAGCAGTAGACAAGCTATTATTTGCGTTCGATTCAGTATGAATGTATAAAGAGGTTATAATGGACCCTAGAGATATTATACACGAACAACTGAAGTGTGTGAATTATCATGAGGTCGTTTTGTACTCTAGTTAGTCCAATAAATGTGACACTGAACTGAGAAAATCATCACTTCAAATTTTAGTAGATATTAATAATAATAATAATAATAATAATAATAATAATTTTATTATTATTATTATTATTATTATTATTATTATTATTA